AGAGGAGGCGGCGATCGACAAAAAGAAGGGTGCAAGGGCCGGGCGGGGGCGAGGACGTGGTGCGCCGCCATTGTCCATGCACACGCTGCCCTGGTCGGAGCAATATTAGTCGCCCTACTTCTGCACTGCTAAGCAGCTCGGTCGTCAGCAGTCTCCGACTTCCGCCATTGGGCACGTGCCATATTGCATCAACGTTAATACAGGGCCGCTCGATTTGGCCAACTCGACGTGGATCAACTCTGTGTCCACTCTTTGTTCGCCGGTATGTCTCAACCGGGAGACGCCGCCGCTCGATTTGGCCAACTCGGCATCGCTGCAGCTTGTCCGGTTGCGGATACCGGGCGTGGATCAACTCGATGTCCACTCTTTGTTCGTTGGTATGTCTCAACCGGGCGACGACGCCGCTCCATTTGGCCAACGCGGCATCACCGCAACTTGTCCGGTTGCGAACACCGGGCGTGGATCAACTCGGTGTCCGCTCTTTCTTCGCCGGTATGTCTCAACCGGGCGAGCTGGCGTATGACGATGCAAACAGGGAGTTGATGGAGATGATCCGCAACAGAGACGGAGGTGGAGGCGGCTTCGAGGACGGACAAGTGGATGACTCGGAGCTGGAGGTGTACGCCCAACAACCAGGCACATACACCCAACAGCTAGACTCGTACACCAAGTAGCCGGAGCAGGACAAGTACGTTGACGAGGGATTTCATTTGAAGGATTGGCTGGCCGATCCAAAGAGGGGTAGAGGAGAAAGTTTCCACATGTGGGAGGACAAACTGTTGTATGGTGTGGTTGGCCACTAGCATCAATCTGATCTAAGGACGCAATATTTTGGTCCAATATTCATTCTTGGTTCCACGAGCACAAGAATTTCGAGCCCTGCCGCAACGAAGTCATCCGCAATCGTGGGACAAAGTCGCTCAACCATCGATGGAACACCATCCAAGAGTCCGTGGGCAAGTATTGGGCCATTTAAAACAACTAATCGATCGGTGGCCAAGGAGTGCACAAATCTCTGAGCAAGTAAGTTCTTCTATGTGTTGGTCATTTTGCCGGATATGATCTTGATCATTTGGCCGGATATGCAATTTGTTGGCCGAATATGTTCTATGTTTTGTTCATTTGGCCAGATATACACCTTGTTGACAATGTCTTTTTTTTTTGCTATCCCTCCCATAAGTGCAACTTGTTTTTGAAGGTGGAGAAGAAGAGTTTCGTCCTCATGCATTGTTGGTTGAAGTTGAATGCGCAACCCAAGTGGCAAATGTCCACTACCAATGCCATCAAGACCGCCAACATCGGCAATGAGGAAGATGTGGGTGATCCAACCGACCCAACAAACAGCTGCCCAAGGTTAGAAGAGGATTATGAAGAAAGAAGTAAGAGGAGGAGAAAGAGAAGCGAGAAGGGGTGGCGGCCAAGATGACGGAGAGGTTCGAGAACATCTTGACAAAGAAGAAGGTGGTATGTATCAAGCGCTATGACGTGAAGGAGAAAACGAAGACAGAAAGGTTTAAGATGGCGGAGACCGCGAAGAAGATCAACCTCGAAGAGAAGAACACCAAGCTTGAAGAAAGGAAGGTTGAGCTCGCGGCTGATTCAAAGGATACCAAAATGTTGGCTATGAGGATGGACCAGTTGAATCCTGATGCAGCGATGATCGTGCGTGCCGTCCATGCCAAGATCGCTTCGCGGTCGAGATGGAGGAGGACAAGGAGGAGGCGGCTAGTGAGGAGGATCCAACAGCAGAGTGAGCGAGGAGGATCAGACAACCTGTCTGGGAAGGCAAAATTATGTATTTTGCATGGATTGTCAGAGTATTACTTTTGTGGTCGGGCGCATGTAAAAACTATAAACATCCATCTCTTTTTGATTGTGATCGGGCGCTATGAACACCAAACTTTAATTCACTCATATTGCTATGTATTTGAAATGAAGGAGACCAGAGCTAGGCAAGCGTTTAGGATGTGGTTGGACATGCGTGTCTGTGGATGATTCCGGACCAGTCTATGTACAAATGATGTGTCCGTTTTAGGGGTCATGCGGTTGGAGATGCCCTAAGGCGTTTTTCGAGGATGAAAAAACCAAGGATAGAAGGGGATTTTTTTTTTCAAAACTGAGAGAGGAGAGGGGCTGAGTGATCTACCAATGTACAATCCTCAATTCTCCTTTAATAATAGAGATTTTTGTAAATTCAAAGAAAATGGCCGCTTAGTGAACATACGGTTCAGTTGGTTCTGCCTTGTCACGCCTAAAACAAGGGGAATTGACAAGTTGAGTGTTTCTCTACTTGATGAACGAGTCTATTCGAAATCTGGCTTGCACTAGTCTTATCGCGCCCTTCAGTAGCATGAATGTCGGCTCTTGTTACTTCAAACTGAGAAATACAAGGCACACATGTATCGTGGCTCTTGTTTCTTGATACTGACAAATACAAGGCACACACGTGTAATCGTCCAGCAAAGAGAGCATATATTTCATCTTCTGTCAGGTAGTGTCTGTTCTCCACACATCGATGAGTTACTTGGCATGCCGACATGGCAGACTGTGACCAGAAACAGCAAGCAACGTCGTTTCCTTTGCGCAAGTGTTACCCAGCGGCAGTAGGTCGGCAGCCACTGGAACAATTGGTTCGGTCATGCAAAGATGGGCTGCTGCTGCTCTAGTCTCGTGTCTTTCTTTTGTTGTGGGTGTGTGACATCTCTTAGGCCGGTGGCGAACGTGCGGTCATGCGAAGAGTAATGATACTATTCTGCTCTCAGCCAAGTCACGCATCTTTTCTGTCTGGGAAAAAGAACAAGTCATGCGTCTTTTCTTCCGTGGGGAGGCCGCGAGTACTCAACTTCTCTTGTGTGAGAGCGAGCGTGGCTGGCAGAAGAAACAAATCAAGGGACACTTTCGATCAAGAAGCTGCTACTGCTAGCTACCGTCGACTGAAAGATCAGAATAAATGCGTCTAAAAAGAAGCAGAAAACAAAGGACGCGACTACGCCAACAATAGACAAACAACTCGAGAGACCTTGCACTCAGACAACACAACCTTAGGATATCTGTAAGCCAGACCGTAAACCTCCCGCAACCGTCTAAACCGTGCTGTACGGACAAAATCATCCAACACCAATCTGTATTGGTCCGCGGGACGGTCTGGATGCGATTTCTCCTGTAAATTAGAGACAAGAGTATGAGAGCTTTGCGGGAGTCCAGACACCCGAAACATAGGACTCCGACACCCCTGACCCACCCAATCCCCCTTCCCCCGTCCCATTTTCTTCCACTTCGCCTCTTCCCCCCTTACTTTGCATCCGCACCCTCCACCTCCGCCGACACTGTTGTTCATCTCCGGCTGCCATAGAGGCATTGTCGGACGTCCGCAATCAGCACCGATGCGCCAGCTCGCCATTTCGACGGAGCTTTCAGCCCTGGAGCCGTTTGTACCCAGGTACACTCCGCCCTCTGTCAATGACCTCCACGGCGGACACCATGCCCGGTAGGTGTTTGGTCAAATGCCATTGAGCTTATTTTCAAATGCTATGTCGTTTTTTAGAGTACGACGGATGGTGAGCTACTCGACCATGGATGATGAGTTGTTGTGCGATGTGTGGCTGGCCGTATCCGCGAATTTCATAGGCAGGACCAGAGGGCTGCCCTTCTGGGAGCAAGTGCATGAAAAGTTTCACGCAGGAAAACACATTGCGCCCTACGACATGTACACCATTCAACGACACAATGTGAGGTCGTTGTCGTATTGCTGGCGCGCTATCCAGATCAGCGTCATCAAGTTTTGCAACTTGGTTAGTTAGCTCGAGGCAAGGTGGCCATTGCACGCGGACATGGAGGAGATGGTAAGTTTTATTTCCTCTTGCTCAACTTGTTGATTGATTCATTAATTCAATGTTGGACTACACATTAAATGTAGCCCGCATGTGCCGCCATGGTGTACCACAGGTCAGAGGGACGGCCATTT